TGATGTTGGACTGCTTATCTCAATGCGTATTTAATACTTTTCTGACTTTGTCTCTAATTAAAACTAAATCACTTAAGCTGTGATGTCCATTTCATATGACAAGATATGTGCACCCATTAAAACTGTCCCTGTGCAGATGAATACACGGAGAGTAGATGGACATGTACATGTCTGAGGGGAATCTACGTCTGCCCTCGGTGCTGAGGACAGCAGCCTGTCCAGACCCATTCACACTAGAACACCAACACTAGTGTCAGAGAAGCATGTCCTCACTAGTGAGCCACCAACATCAAGGCCTTAGACCAGGGGTGTCAAACTCATTTTAGCTCAGGGGCCACATTGAGGGAAATCTAGTCCCAAGTGGGCCGGACCAGTAAATTAATTAAATACTTCAGATTGTTTTCTTTGTTTTAATACAATCAATATAAAGCGAGGCTGGAGCCTGAGGACAGTGTAGTACAAGTACAACACCTGAAGTGTACTTGAAAATTTGAAAAAAAAAATAAAAATAAAAATCAACAAATAAAAAAAACATTCCTTAGTGATTCAAAGAGCTTACAGATCACATGGCAAGATCAGGTTCATGCAGCACTTAAAGTTTATTTAACTCATTTTACTTTACATCTTTTAGCTTTCACCAGCACATCAATATCAGAAGTCACATCCTGAGTGGCGGCCAACTTCAGGATGTGATTCAAGTTCTTGTGTGAGCCTTGAGCGCAGCTTTGTCTTATTTATACTCACTACAGAGGAAACTTGCTCACAAAGATACGTTTATTTTCACTCTACATTGTAAAGTATGAAAATAAAGTTTACACAACCATCTCGCGGCCGGCCCGCGGGCCGCATGTTTGACACCCCTGCCTTAGACCCTTTTGTGTACAATGCTGTTTAATGTAAGCGACAGTATGTATAAGTGAAGGTAATATAGGGCCAAATCCACACTCCTGCCAACGCTAAATGAGTTGTGATTTATAGGTTAGTCGTAGAAATGCTAAAAATTAATGAATATGTTTGAATAAAAAAATAAACGTATATTTGGACATGGCATTTCAGTTATGGTTCCATTGTGTCAATGTGGATGTCTAAATCAGTTTTGTTGCAATGACAATAAAACAGTCTTTATTATAATGTTTTTTACAAGTTTTAGTAGTTTAGTTAATCTTCCTAAGAATGTGTTATTTTGATAAATTTTCTGGGTTATTATAATGCATCTTAGAAAGGCAATTGTCTCCCAAGGGTTATAGTTATACATAAAAAAAAGGGAAATAGTCAGGTTGATCAGATTTGAGATTTCTGATTTATACATTTTGGGATTTTTTTTTTTTGTATTACTTGGGTCCAAGCTGATGCCACAGGACTTTTGTAAAGCTACTCGTTTGAGCTCCGATTAAAAAATAAAAGTGGTCGGGGAGCACTAACAAATTAGGCTTATGAAAGAAAAAAAAACTTATGTGAGGTGCTCCATGCTTAGCACCATCAACGACAGCCCGCCCAGGCAGGAGGAATTTAATTATTCTATTTTGGTTGTCTCTACAAGTGATGCTGATCTCAAATGACAGTAAATAGCACCTGCCACCACAAACCGATCAAATATTTCTCACTCAGCTCTGTTAATGAGAATGAGACTGAGACCGTTTCTCCGGCTGTCTGCAATGGTAGAATGGGATTTACCGTAATAAACCTAAGTGGTCCTGAAAGCACAAAGTAGTATTTTAATCAAAGAGAGGAAACGCTTTGAATGTGCAAAAGCCTTTGAGCACAAAATGCACGAAAACTTAAAGTAAATGTCTTTTTGACCCGCTCCTGACTAGTAAATATCAACGCAGCAACAGCAGTGCTGCAGGTAACTAATAAGCTAAAATGGCCTAGCATGTTAGTGCCATTTGACTTCTATACACAACTCCACACTAGCAGTCTCCAGAAACTAAAGTCTGACCTGTGGTGCTACAGCAACACTACACCACACAAGAAGATGACTGCCTTCACAAGCAGCATAAAGGAGAACCTTTGGAATTTTCCAACCAACACCAGGTACAATTGATTATTTATCATTCATAAACTGACAGTTATAATGCAGGAGATCATGTGCAAATATATATTTTTCCACCTATTGAACTACTTGGGAATTGATCAGGAATTGGACTGAGATACAGAATCAACAATGGCATTGATACTAATAAAGTTGTATCAATTCCTAACCCTGGAAGTGATACGAAATGACAAAAATGCCCCAAATCTGTTGCACCTCAAGTGATCAAAGAATAATAAAGAAATATGAAACCATTAATAAAAAAAACAAATAAATGTAAAAACACAAAAAATAATCTTAAAAATTGTGTTCCAGGCTGCCTATCTCTCAGCTCCAACTTAAACCTCACCAAAGGTCTGTTTTCCATTACAGTGACTTTCCAACCTCGGCTTTCACTTAACAGGATTTAGGAAATATAATCCATTTACACCTGCTCTAGATTAGCTTCCAGACACCCATGTTCATACATTGTTTCTCCCTGGATAAGAATGTGTGTAATTTACAACTTCTTTGAAGTTGGATCAAACTAAAAGACAATTAAATTACACGAGCAAATACTTTCTTCAAAGTTCATAAATAATGTTCAAACTGAAAAGTGGTACAATTACATTTACCAAATGAACTCTGAATTAATAGGATGTGCCAAATAAGCAGTGTTTTTTAATGCACAACCAACAAAATGTTGTACTGTTGTCCATGGTGCTGATCAGGGTGCTGTCCACAGTACTGATCATTCATTGGATTGATGCAGGAATTAAATATGCCATTAGGTCACCTGTATTGATGTAATCTACATAGATATGACGTTGCATTGTTGCAATGGACATTTATTTTGAAAATGACCAAGGGTTTTACACTGAAACCGTGTGTGATTCCCTGTCTAGCCCTATGTTAATTGTGGGAATTGTCATATCCCAGAGGTGGCAAAAATAGAACCCGATCCTATCATTAATGGCGTGGTGCAGTGTAGCACTTCTGGGACACGTCTGAAAATTTTAGCATCGTGGCTGGTTTGAATCACCCAATACACTCTGATGGATTCTATTTGAAACAGTGACGTTCCGCACTGTTGATGCCTCCAGTGTGCAGTAGGGATGAGGGCCACCACCCATCAGATCAGACACTCTCGGACCGAAAGCAGTAACAAGTCTTTGGGATGAAGACTGACTTGTTACAAAAATAACCGTGTGATACTCAGGAAGTGCCACTGACTTCAGTGTTCTGAATCTAAACAAAAATCTCTCTGTGGGCTGTTAATGTACAAAACACACACACACACACACACACACACACACACACACACACACACACACACACACACACACACGCACGCACGCACGCACGCACGCACACACACACACACACACACACACACACACACACACACCTGGAGTTGTAGTCTGTGATGCATCTTGGGCTTCAGTGAAAAAAGTGACAGGATTGGGTATATTTTCCTCCAACAGGACAGTCCTGTTCCAAACACCCGAGGGCATGAGTTCCACTCAACTGCTGTGCACAGCTTTGTTGATTGCTTTTCAATCAAGCAAGACCAACACTAATTTGATTTATTGCTTTATTTTATACTTTAGGAAGAATTCTCAGGTTTTGTAAAGCATGACTGGCATTTCTCTGATAGTTTCAGCCACATGTCTTGGTTTGGACTGACTGCATTAAAATAAAAAACATACAGGGTTAAGACAGTACGTTCTTACAGCACACAGGCAGCATGGATGAGCTTGTCTGGGAATAACAAGCTGCACACAAAAGCTTTTTATTGTTTGTTTCCTCTATTTTCTATCTGAACCTCCTCATTTAACGTCTAGATCTGTATTGTGTCTCCGATCATTAGTGATAATAATAACGGACAATATGGACAACGATCGAAGAAAAATAACATTTGGAATATCATGAATGAATTGGTGAATAAAAACACTCCTCTAGAGGTATTCCACCTCACCTATCTGATGATGTTTGTCATCCTTTTGGGATTGGTAATGATTTCACAGATTCTTCCCATATTGGTTCCTCTCTAACTAGAAATATTGTGTTGTCAGTCAATCCTAATTAAACAGATGCCAATCATAATTCCTAATGAGGTACTTCAAATGCTCCTGACAATGAAAAATGTAGTTGTCGGCCATGATGAGATAGTATGATTAAGAAAATAGCTTCATGTTCTCCCTTTGACTCTAAAAACAGAGATTGGACCAATAGATTTAAAAGTACCTAAAGTAACCCCTTTACTTAAATCTGGGGATACTAGTGTATTTAAAAATATCTGCCTTGTTATGCATTACCTTTATTTTCCAAAGTACTTGACAAATTTGCTTATACAAGAATAAATGATGAGCACAAAGTCTCTTTCTTGCTCATCAGAAGGGTGTCTGTTCCAGTAGGAGACTCTAGACATTGGAAAGCTTTGTCCTGTGCAAGTCTGGGTTTATTTCTCTTATTCACATTTTCTGCAAGTCATCTCAACAATGACTCAATGTGCATCTGCAGACACAAAAACACATCGTATGTAATAAACCCAACCCCACACCGTCCAGAACATCCTGGTTCTAGAGTTAACAGCAGGTCCTTAAGAATGCAGTTGATCATACAAGGGTTTGTTTGTCAACAGCAGCTAGGCGGCTAATGTGTGTATTTTACTGGGTACTGATTACACATGGTCTATTTTGAAAATGCTTTTGGAAATAGACAGGTCTGTTGGACAGTAATATCCGTCTAAAACCAGTAACATGTTTCATCCCTTCCCTAGTCTGAGGACTGAACTGGTTTTCCTGGTGACTAACACACTGTAACGTCTAATCTTAGTCAGGAACACACTGCAAACACAAAAACAAGTTCAGTTTTGAAGGACTTTGTTTTAGCTTTTTTCTACATTCTAGGATACTCTGACCCATGTCATCTGTTTTGGTGTCTATTCCATTTCAATGACCCTCTCTCTCCCTTTCTTGGCTTGCAGACGGACGCCGCTCTAATGTACGATGCTGTGCACGTGGTGGCCGTGGCTGTGCAGCAGTCTCAGCAGATCACCGTCAGCTCATTACAGTGTAATCGACACAAACCCTGGCGCTTCGGGAACCGGTTCATGGCCCTCATCAAAGAGGTAGATAGCGTTGTAACCTCTTCCCCATTCTGCTGTAGTCCTCAACAAACAGATGTGCTCACATAGAAGAGCAGCGTGTGAACAGAGGAAGAAGCTACGATGGGGAAATGAGTAAATGAAACATATGTAAATGTGTAGTTTTTTCAAATGTATCCACTGAGAGCAGCCATCTTGAGCATGCTTCTTTACTGCTTCCAACCACTTTTCCTGGTTGCGTACCCACTTCATAATCAGCCCCGCTTCTATATTTGAGTGTACTGAAGTGAAATACGGAGCTCATCACTGGGTCAGTAGGTGATGGAGGTAGATAACGATCTATTTCAGCTACAGCAGCAGAACTCTGCTGTTCCATTAAAGTGGTCCTAGCTACATTTACCTTGTCAATATTGAGTATAGAGAGCTTAAGGCTCCTCCCCTTCCTGTCTACAACAATCAAAACATGAATGGTAGTGAATGGGGCTATAAAAGCTATTTTTAATGCACTTTGCCTCACACCCTGAGTCACACATGTCCTTCAATCATCCCACTTACATTCATTTGTCTTTTGGGTCAGAGGGCCCATGAGCTCACTTAAAGGGGAGGAGACTTAGGCTGACAATTTTTGTTCTGACTGGGTGGGTGGGGCAAACCAGTCTTTCCATTGTGGTTTATTAGGGGGTTGTGTTTGGCCATTCATCAAAGCTCCTGGGTCATTGCGAGCCCCATCAAAATTTAATTTGTTACATAGAGGTGTAAAGAACAGTTTCCAATATTAAAAATCAACTAAACACTCTTTCAGTAGTACTTAACAGAGTCAGGTTGGTAAAGAGGAGAGACATTGGCATTCAACACAGATACACAACCTCACTGAGAGTGTTTGTCTGGCACACATACCTGGTGCACGCTGACTGGAGGATCACATTCTCACATCAGGAAGGAGATTGTTGTCACAGCATGACTAGATGTTGAAGGGATCCATCCAGAAGGTAAAATGCAAGTAAAACAATCGCATTAGATGTAATAATGTTGACTCTGAAATGAAGCACAACTTGATTGTCACAGTGAGGAGGAACTATAAGGACCAGTAGGGGAGTTAGTGTGAAATCAAGACTGTTTCACGCCTCATTGGTACAATCACCTCTAGGTACACACCATCTATTCAGACCTCTACAACTTTTAGTGCATTGAATTTAAAAGTAATCATGGATGGAGAACAAAGGGTACTTTTATTATTATTATTATTATTATTATTATTATTATTATTATTAATAGAGTTCATATTTAAGGCATAATTTCTTAAATGTTTCTAAAACAATTGTCACTTAGCACAACACTGTTCCATCAGTTTATGAATGAATGAGTTTGATTTGAGTGTTTGTAAGACACTATTTAACAAAAAGAAGAGGCCATATTTTACAAAAACAATATTATACAGGATAAAGGACCATTATTTACACCCACACTCTATAAATTTCACTTGTCAACCACAAAAGCTTTTTAAATTTTTTTTTCAAAGACCTTTTCTTTAAAAATGACTAATTACTAACAAACCAATGAGTGTATTGCTTTGAAATTCTCGTAACCTGATAAATCAAATGTTGGATGCATTAATCAAAGTTATTTCAACTGGTTCCAAACAGCCTGGTAGCTTAGATGTAAAGAGTTAAACATTAATTTTGTTAGTGTAGAGTGCATCTGGAACATATTTACAGCACAACACTTTTTCCACTTTTATCACAGACTTTTTCCAAAATGGATTAAAACTTATTTTTGACTGACAGTTCTACACACAACACCCCATAATGACTGAATAATTTCCAGATTCACTATATGAGGAGCCGTTTCAGTTTAGCTGCCATACAGCATCTTTGTTTAGTCCGAAAAAATTGCTTTTTTGAAAATTTGTGAATCCAACAAAATTTTAAACTAAAATAAAAAACACTTTCACAAAAACATTTAGGTAGATTGAACAAACGGACACTGGAAACCTGTGAAAACAAAACCACTGACAGTCCTAATAAATACTAAGAACCATCTGACAAAGTTCTTCATCACTTAATCACAGATTACTTCGGACTGATTGCAGTTGGTAAATGTACTATAGAGTGATACTTTCCATGTTTTCAATGCTCTTATAAGGAATAAAAGCAGACAGATATACTTCATTTATGCAAGTGCGTGTTTATTATAGCAACAACACAAAACAATCACAAATATTGTCCCAAATGATGTCCAGAAAAATTACTCTGCACAGGTATTTATTTGCTTATTACTTCCCATTTTATTAAATCAGAATGAAAAATGAGACAAGGTAAGGCAGGACAATGCTGATTAAATAAAATTATGTATTTAATAGAAAGGAAGTAAAATAAAAATGGAAATAAATCTCCAAACAATGAAAAAGAGGATTTTTTACTAAATTAATGCAATAATGAAAATTGAAAAAATATATATTCTAAAAAGAAAGAAGAAATAAAATATGTCACAAATTCAAACAAAAAAAAGTGGAACCAAATAAATAAATTCAACAAGAATGATAAATAAATAAATAAATCATGATGATGACCTTTAGATAAATGAATGTAGGTGAAAATAAATATCAATTCATGCCTTGTTGTGTGACAGATGGGTTAGGGTTAGTAATTAAGTAAAAATCTTTTTTGGGGGAACATTTCTTGGTAATTAAACACTTATCACAATGACTTTGCTGAATTACTGTATCACACCATCTCGTTTTTTCTAATCTGGTCACGTTTGGTCCTGCATGGTTTTCTCTGACATCTTTGCATGGTTGGGTTGGCCGTCACTTACACAGGTGCTTCTTAGCACGTGTCTAACATCCTTTATCGTATCACAATGGCATGCTCAGTATTTAGTGTGCACTCTGAAGAAAGAGTCCTATCGGGTCTTTTTGGCCTGTGAGACTCCAGATGCAGCTGATGGGTACCGGCTGTCCAAGCAGAATGCAGCTGGGGTGGTTGCAGAGGCAAAAACCGGGCGTGGGAGAAGTTTGGTGAGACCATGGAACTTGACTTCCGTGAGGCTTCGAAGAGATTCTGGTCCACCATCCGGAGTCTCAGGAGGGGAAAGCAGTGCACTACCAACACTGTTTACAGTGGTGCCAGTGTGCTACTGGCCTCTACTTGGATGGGCGGGGGGAGTACTTTGAGTACTTCCTGAATCCCATCGGCATGTCCTACAGTGAGGGAGGAGAGTCTCCATTCTCTGGGGCCGAGGTAACTGAGGTGGTCAATAAACTCCTCGGTGGTAAGGCAAATCAAATCAAGGGTGAATAAAATCTGCCCAGAGTTACTTAAGGCTCTGGATGTTGTAGGGCTGTGTGGGCTGATGCAGCTTTGTAATATCGCATGGAAATCAGGGGCAGTTCCACTGGATTGGCAGACGGGGTGGTGGTCCCCCTCTAAAAAGGGGGACCACAGTGTGTGTTCCAACTACAAGAGGATCACACTTAAAAATGGTAAGGTCCATTCGGGGGTTCTGGAGAGGAGGGTCCATCAGATTGTCAAACCTCTAGAACTATGTGGTTTTCATTATGGTCGTGGAACACTGGACCAGCTCTATACCCTTACCCTGGTTTCACACTGCAAGCATCAGCAGAACGGAACAGCAGCAGAGCAGCTCACTCGCGAACTTCAAAGCCGTCCTTTTCACACTGGGAGAGTCTTGGCCGTTGCACGGCTTCCTCGCTGCGCCTCGCTGTACTCGCGGCATTCTAAAATTCCTCGAGACTTCCAGCACCCTCCTCATCGAAAGATCATAACCCCCGCGAGGAATCACATCATTGCACTTCTCGAAAGGAACTTGTGGTAAACAAAGGACTTTCAGTCACACGTGCTGACGTGAGTTATATAACACATCACAACATTGCATTTTATTTTGAAAATAACTGGGGATTTTACTCTGAAACTGTGTGGTGTTCCTTGTCTCACACTATGTGAACTGCGGGAATTGACATGTCCCAGAAGTGGCTTGCGGAAAAAATAGAATTCGATCTTCTCTTTAGCGGCGCGGCATGCCGCTTCTGGGATGCGCCTGAAAATTGCAGCGTCGCGGCTGATTTGAAACACTCCATAGACTATAATTTGATTGTATTTGAAGCGGTGCCACTTCACTGCCATTCTGTTCCGCAGATGCTTGCAGTGTGAAACCGGGGTGAGGGGGTCCTGGAGTGTGCATGGAAGTTTGCCCAACCAATCAACATCTGTTTTGTGGATTTGGAGAAGGTGTTTGACCATGCCCCTCGGGTGGCACTGTGGGGGTTTCTGCAGGAGTATTGGGTACCAGGCCCTCTGATTGGGGCTGTTATACCATTTTAAACCAATCTGTTGTGGTGAAGAAAGAGCTGAGCTGAAAAGCAAAGCTCTTGATTTACTGGTCAATCTACGTTCCTAGCCTTAGTTATGGTCACGAGCTTTGGGTAGTGATCAAAAGAACAAGATCGCAGATACAAGCAAAATTTATGTTCTACGTAGGGTTGCTGGGCTCACCCTTAGGGATAGGGTGAGAAGCTCGGTCCTCTGGGAGTAACTCGGAGTAGACTGGCTGCTCCTCCGCATCGAGAGGAACCACTTGAGATGGCTCGGGCATCTGGTGAGGATACCTCTTGGACGCCTCCCTGGTGAGGTTTTCCTGGCACGCCAACTGGAAAAAGACCCAAAGGAAGACCCAGGACACACATTTTTCCTTCTTTGTTCCAGCTTCATATTTCTGTCATGTTTGTGTGTGGTTTTGTGAAAGTAATTATAATAAAGAAAAGACTGATGTGATGCTGTTGATTTGATGTCTGCTTTGGTATTGTAAACTTTGCTCTAACTCTTCTCAGGCTCACTGGGACGGCCTGACAGGAAGAATCTCCTTCAACAGGACAAACGGCCTGAGAACAGACTTTGACCTCGATGTTATCAGTCTGAAGGAGGAGGGACTGGAGAAGGTGCTGTTTCAGTTACGTGTGCGTGTGTGTGTGTGTGTGTGTGTGTGTGTGTGTGTGTGTGTGTGTGTGTGCGTGTGTGTGTGTGATATGACACAAAAACATAGCACAACAATGGCGTACATGGTGGTGAAGTCGGTGGCTTTTTTGTCAGGCTGCTGGCATCAGGCAGAAAACTCTGGAACAACCAGGGACTCTAGCCAATCAGTGATTATCTGACACTGGATTTCTGATATGACTTGGTACACTTGGTGCTACATTAAGTAAGTAAGTAAGTAAAAGTTTATTTATATAGCGCCTTCCACAGATATAAATCACAAAGGCTCCCTGTTGCATCCAACAGACCGAGGCATGTGCCTCTTTTGTTAGTACAAAGCCCCTATTTGTCCATCCATCTTCCTCTCCATTCTACCATCACCTGAGATCAAGACACCAAGGTACATTCCTCTTAAGGCAAGGACTTATTCCCACCATGAAGAGAGCATCCCACCCTTGTTCTGTCAACAACCATTACCTGAGATGGAGAGGAACAAACTCGCATACCAGCCGCATCACATTTGGTTTTGAACCATCCCAGTGCACACTGAGGGTAATGGCTTGAAAACCCCAATAAACCTGGTGCTTGACATCAAACCTCATGTTTCATACTTGATTTAAAACACTTCTAAGTTACCTTCCATTTTATGTATAGATCTTTGTCATGTTTCTCTACTGCTTCACATAAGTGACTTGTCAAACTGATGTTTGATATCCAGTTGTTGAAAAGTATTGGTGGCTGTGTACCATATGACCATAAAAATCGGGTCTAAGGTACACAGGGCGTGGGTCTAACGTCTTTGGGGGACGCCTTGTTTTTTTCTGGCCAGCTTGGGGTCCTGCACCTGTTGATGATGTCACACTAGATGATTGGCTGGACGTAAGACTTGAAAGCATTACCATGTTCAAAAACATTTAGGTAGTAAGAAACATGAGTTTAATATCAAAACTCTTTCCAAAACCTATGTGAAAGAACAGAATTGAAAAAGAGATGTAATATATTTTGGCCGAGTGGTATTGCTGTAGAATGATGACGTCATCGGCAGGCGCAGGACCCCAAGACAATCCAGAAACTGCAGCGCCAGAAAACTAGCATCGAATTTGCATTCTCTCGATGGAATTAATGTTTATCGTAATGTTGTTTTAAACTAGCGACAGTCACGATGATATAGTGTGAAACTACCCTGAAATGTATGTACTGCCCTCTAGTGGCAGGAAACTACACACTGCCACTTTAAATGTTCTTTAAATGGACAGACTGAGCAGGGACTTAACTTCTGCTACTAAGGAGCCTGTTTTGGAATACACCCCTTCTGCCCCACCTCTACCAAGGCTAACAATGACATTAACAACTCCAAACTGTCCACTTCTAGTCAACGACATCTAGTAATAATCAGTTGTTGAACTAAAATGAGCAACCAGCCTTCCCCAAAGAATTTGGCTCAGGACGGCTATTTTCTGTGTATCAGGTGTAGCAAACAGTGCACCAATAGTAACTCTGTTAGGTGAGATTTATTAAAAATGCCAGACATGCTGACATCACAGTCACAAAAATAAGCAGCTTATTCAGCCCAACAGGCAACACAAAATACACTCATGCTGTTCAAACCGTTGTCATGTCTCACACTCCTCGTCTGTATTTGTGCTGGAAGAGTATCGCCCCGGTGTTCAGCACTTGATTTAAGATTCATGAGATTATCAGTCGGAGAAGAAGCTGCAAACACTCTTGATATTATTATTCTCACATGCAACAGTGAGCACTTCACTCACCAGCATCCTCACCGGTGCATTCCTCACAGAAGCTCCTGACCTCTGCTCTGTGTTCTCTGTGTGCCTGCACCTCCATGAATAATTTATTCCATTAATAAAAACTCATTCAGAAGCCCTCCAGCCTCATGAATCCTGAATTAAAGAGTTGATTTGCAATTACAAAGCCTATCTCAGGGACTCGCTCAGGGCGTCAAAGGTGCCCTCAGGAATGTGTGGCTGCTGAGGGTTGGAGTATACGCCGTCCCCTCTCAGGATTGTTGGAAAGTAGCGATGCTGCTAAAGAGGCATGATGCTGAAACCCCAAGGGAGTGCTGAGGCAGGAAAAGCCTTGAAGTCTAATCTGATATCTTTGCTGTCCTCATCTGCTGTGCTTCACAAGCATGTGCCTCTCTCACTTCTGTCAACCGTCTTTGACCAGCCCATCTACAAGCCTCAAGGCTGGTCAGAATCTGGCATCATCTGTAACATCGGTGCCAGGAGGAGTCCTGCAGAAATGAGCCGAAGGGTCATGATACCAGCAGTGTACTCAAGATTCCACACAAATGGTCTGTGTTTCAAAACAGAAAAATAGATAAAGCTCAGTTCGGTTTTAAAAAAAGTTTTATAAAAACGCATTAGCACATTGTGGAAAAGAAAGTGACCGTGCTTTGGTTTGTTGTTGTTGTGGATGATGATTATTCACACGCTGCTTTATGTTCATTAGGATGAGAATAAGCCTGTCCAGGTTAACTGAAGCAGACTGGCTCCCTTGCAGTGATGGAGATACCGAACATTTCACATCTTTCACTGATGATGTCTTCTACCTGCTTGTAAAGGTCATAGGTCACTGAATGTTCTGTCTAATGTAAAGTTATGAAAGCAAACTGCATTTGTCTTACAGATTGGAACCTGGGATCCAGTGAGTGGCCTCAACATGACGGACAACCAGAAGGAGAAGATGACCAACGTCTCCGACTCTCTGTCCAATCGATCTCTGATCGTCTCCACGCTACTGGTGCGTTTAGATTTTCTGAGATATTACAAACTCTGGTTATGTTGGACAGATTTTCCTTTCATTTCCTACATCTATTGCAACAAGATCATTAACATTGTAATCCAGTACAACCAGAACAGTGTCATGACTACCATCATGTTTGCCAAATGAAATGTCGGATTTTCTTCTATGTAAAAGGGCTTTACTTCAAACAAAGCTAAATCAACATAAAGAAGAAACATTTCCATTTATTCAAAGTTGGATCAATGCCAATCTTTGGGAATTTGTGATTTGATCATTTAGTTTACCTTTTAAAAAAGAAACGTGCCTCTGAGAATTAGTGATCAAAATGAACAGGTCCAATTTGAATGAGAAGCAGGCCTTGTTCAGTGAGGGCAACGTGGTTGTTTTTCCATCATTTGGATGGTAGTCGGCTACTTGGATGTGTGCTTCTGTGATTTAGAAGGCGTGTGAGCACAGAGAAAGTCTGAAGTCTTGGGTTGTTTGGTGGGAAAATCTTATACAGATTCCATTCAGTCTCAATAAATGGAGAATTAGCCTGACTTGCCTCCTCAGGTCTCCAACAAAATGAGACTGGAATACATCTTAAGTGGATTTGGGCCTACGACCAGCCGATACACACGTGGTTGAAGGTTTCTGTGGTGGGCCGAGGAAGTATGTTTTTCTCTTGATGGGTCAGCCGAGTTGAGTGTTTGACCCTGTGTAGGAGCTGCAAGTAGGTGCAATGTTGGATTCATGCTAAATGTGAGCATTCTTACTTCAGCTAACTATTCCTGATGAGAAGCTGATGATTCATGATTTTGAGAATGTGCATAAATAATCAGCATAACAAATCCTAGCTCACCAGATTCCCTTCATAAGGAAGCGATCCACTTTGACTCCTGTTATGGGTCTGATAGGATAGCAGAGTTGGTTTGTGCCCCTGATGGTTAACATGGCCTATTGTCAAAGACAAGATGTTGTCACAGTGTAGGAGGTGGAGACGGCGGACCATGTGTGGATGAGCTGAACGGAGGAAAAATGCAGACTTCAGTAAAAGTAAAAATGATTTAATGGCAGGAGGATGAACAGAAACACCAGCAGACAACAACAGCAATGAACTGACAAAGGAAGGGGCAAAACAGGTGGTTTAAATACAGAGGGCTAATTAGGGAAACATGGGCAGGTGAACGAGGGACAGGTGAGAACAATAAGGGCAATCACGGCAGGAGAGGAACACAGTCAGGTTGGGCAGGGGCAGATCGTGTCAGTACCCCCCCCCCCCCCCTTAAGGGCGGATACCAGACGCCCACAAGGCTATACAACAGGAGACGGGGACTTGAAGACTGGACATGACAGGAATGTGACTGGAATGGGGACTTGACATGACTGGAACAAGGACTTGAACGGACTGGAACAGAGACTGGACTGGACTGGAACATGGACTGGACTGGACTGGACAGGGACTCGAAGACTGGACATGACAGGAACGGGACTGAACGGGGACTCGGGGACTTGACAGGAACGGGACTGAACGGGGACTCGGGGACTTGACAGGAACGGGACTGAACGGGGACTCGGGGACTTGACAGGAACGGGGACTCGGGGACTTGACCCGAACGGGACTGAACGGGGACTCGGGGACTTGACAGGAACGGGACTGAACGGGGACTCTGGGACTTGACAGGAACGGGACTTGACAGGAACGGGACTTGACAGGAACGGGACTTGACAGGAGCAGGCGTGGGACCCAGGCAGAGAACTGCAGGAGCAGGCATGGGGCCCAGGCAGAGAACTGCAGGAGCAGGCATGGGGCCCAGGCAGAGAACTGCAGGAACAGGCATGGGACCCAGCAGAGGCTGCAGCAGCACGAGACCTGCAGGCATAAGCCCCACAGCGTGGACCAGGAAGTGGACGAACGGCAGGAGCGACGCGAGGAAACCAGGATCGGTGGCAGGCACTCGACAGCCGGTCAGAGCAGGTGCACGGCACGATTCGCAGGATCTCAGGCAGAGGCTTGGGTGCAGGGAAGCAGGAGAAGAGCGGGGAGACCAGCCCTACCACCCCGGAGAACGATGGCGTGCGTAGGGGGTGTAACTCCTTCAAAGCTCCAGGATCCGCGGCTTCCATGACAAAAACGGGACGGGGGCCGAAAGCAGGAGAGGAGAAGGGCTCGACCACCGCAGGAAACAAACCGGATGCGCCGAAACCCACCCAGAGGCTTGACCACCCCAGAGAACAGGTAGGATGCGCAAACACCCTGGGCCAGAATCTCCTTCTGCTAAAGGACAAAAAAGAAAAAATAATTCCTCCAGGGAGATTTAGAAGTGCTCACCACAGGTCCCGGTTTGGTCAGTTCATTCTGTCACGGTGTAGGAGGTGGAGACGGCGGACCATGTGTGGATGAGCTGAACGGAGGAAAAATGCAGGCTTCAGTAAAAGTAAAAATGATTTAATGGCAGGAGGATGAACAGAAACACCAGCAGACAACAACAGCAATGAACTGACAAAGGAAGGGGCAAAACAGGTGGTTTAAATACAGAGGGCTAATTAGGGAAACATGGGCAGGTGAACGAGGGACAGGTGAGAACAATAAGGGCAATCACGGCAGGAGAGGAACACAGTCAGGTTGGGCAGGGGCAGATCGTGACAGATGTTTACTGAAGAGATCAGAATTGAAACTGTCTTCCTTTCAAGGTGATAAAGTAACAACAAAGAAGAGTTTCCAGTCTGGCGCAGGTATAGATGACAATGAATCTGATGTGAATCTGAATGGGTTTTACACATCTATTCATTCTATTTAGGACTCAGGGTTAATATTGTAAATACTCTGTTAACTCACACACACACACACACACACACACACACACACACACACACACACACACACACACACACACACACACACACACACACACACACACACACACACACACACACACACACACACACACACACAAATGACTGATGTTGTAAACACTTCTTTTATCATCCATCGTACCTGAGATCAGATGTCAGTGTTATCACACATAGTGAAATCCCTTTTTTCCAGCTCAGCATGAGATGTTGGTAAAAAGAAGTCTTCCGGAGTTGGTAAACATCACACAACAAGTTCTGTTAGTGCCTCGCTGTCATTTATGGCCAGTAACGTGCACATCTGGCACTGAAGCTTTTAGTTTGTGTTTGTAGTTCAATCAGATTGTAATGGTTCTTTATGTGAAACCAGTTCCATGAGGCTGGAACAGCTCTCTGCCTAACACACTCCCTCCAAAGATGTCATTATTTTTAAACCTTTCCTCTTGAAACATCCTTCAGTGCTTTGACTAAGCTGCCCCTTCTTTTAGGAGCACTTTCTAGGGATGCTGCTCTCCTATTCAGTTGAAGCAGAGTGCCCCAAAGCACTTCACTCCCAAATTGCCAGTTGACTTCACCACAGTGGAGGACTCATTTGATGGGAGCATGCTTAGACAGGGAGAATTAACTGATTGATTGTCCAATAAGATTTCATGCTTTACAGCTCTGCTTCCTGTTGAACTACTTCTCAGACTCAGAATGTGTTCTCAGAGTTGTCAAAACCACTCAACTTAAACTAAACTTTGAGGAAAATTTGACTCTTTTCCTGCCAAGTGTGATTAAATAACTCAGATTGGTTTGCTACATAAGCAGAGTGGATGGGTGGGTCTGTTTTTCATTGGATATTTTTGAGTTAATTCTAAAGCTTTACATGTTCTCTGATATTAAAGTCTTAATCTCCTCATTTTGGCATTTGAGATCTTGTCAGTTGTGGTGCCTCTGGTCATTAGTTTTTGATTTAAGGGAGGTTCTTTAAATGTGTTGGATTGAAATTGGGTGGAGAGAAGTCGTGCCAATTTAATCTGTATGCGTGGATGCTGTTTTAACACGTGACTCGGACACAGTTGACTCCTGTTCGATACAATCACTCAAAATAGGAGTGATGTGACCTCTTCTGTTTGCTCCAGTTAGGAGTGTCGACGTAGAGTTCCTAAAAAATGAAGGCCGTCAAGGGCATTTTTGAGAAGTGTGTTACTTCATGTTTTGCATGAAGTAACACACATGTGTACACCCAATGTGTAAAAACAACACACTCACACCTGAAGCATCGAAAAATGACGCTGAGTGACCAAGCGTTTGTTGCCAATGCATTGGGACTCCCAACGCGTCGGGAGGTGACGTCCTGTGCCAGAGCGCCGGTTTCCGACGCCCGTGGTAAAATGCACATTGTACCGACATTTTACCTCTAACCTCTTGCTATTTGACCCTCCCCTCATCCCCATCCCAACGTTAACCCTGTTTCTCGTTGTAAACTTCCCGTTAACTGTGTTAGAGAGGGACATTACAACAAGAAACAAAGCTTTGCATGTGCAAGAAGGTTAAGGTTAGGATGGGGGTGAGGGGAAGGTTAAATAGCAAGAGGGTAAAGGTCAGAATTTGGTGAAATCTCCATTTTCCCCTGGCAGTCAGACAACGACACTCTGGCACAGCACATCGCCTCCCAACGCTTGGTCACCCATCGTTTTTTTCTTCTTCGATGCTTTGGGTGTGAGAATGTGTTGGCAGAAAATGTCCTGCTTTGACATTACATTTACTTGCAGTGTGTGTGTGTGTGTGTGTGTGTGTGTGTGTGTGTGTGTGTGTGTGTGTGTGTGTGTGTGTGTGTGTGTGTGTGTGTGTGTGTGTGTGTTCAAATATTAGTCAATACAAATGAAAGGCCCAGAATCTGTGTTTATCCACCGTGGTGGAAAGTACTTGCCGACCCGGGCCAAATTAAAGGCTCTGGTGATTCTGTTATTGAAGAAGTGAGTTTAAAAATAACAATATAAAGTAAATTGTGGGTTGTCATTATTTATCATGGGCCTTCTTTCCTTCCGTGCACACTGCGAAGTGATTGGATTGCAGTTATTAGCGAAGACTCTCAGCAGCTGTAATTGCCATATCAGGATTGAGTCATGGGGAGATGCGTGATGGCTGTGAGCAGGGAGGAAAAAGGGGGAGGCATGACA